GGGCATGCAGGAGGCAGCCAATCAATTTTTCTCTCTCACATCGATGTTTCTCTCTCCCTACAAATAATAATAATAAAAGAGTGGTATTTATTTTTTAAAAAAGAGTTGAAGGAACAGAGTGAGAAATTCAAGAGTCATAGAAATAAGCAGACTGCAACTTTTGTGCACCAACAAGATGGAGCTCAAACCATGGGGAGGGAAGTGTCACATAAAATATATATGGCTGATTCCACTTACACCAAATACCGCAGCATACTGAAGATTAATTCAAAATGAACTATAGACCTAAACTTGAAAGCAAAGACTCTCGGGCTTCTAGAAAAAACAAGAGAACACCTTTGCCACTTTGGAGTAGAGAAAGATTTCTTACGAGCCCCAAAACACTAACCAACCAAGAAAAAAATATGGACAAACTGGAATCTGGCTTTATCAAAATTAAGAACTTGGACTTACTAAAAGACCCTGTTGATGAAGGGGCAAACAATGGCTTGGGAGTACATGTTGACAAAACATCCCCGCTGACGGATTTGAGTACAGAATAAGTAAAGAACTCCTGCAGCTCCACAAACCCAGCAGCTGCAGGTTTCCAGTGGGCCGGCTGGAGGGGGAAAAGCCCACACCCTGAGTAAGCTCCCTCTCCCAGACAAGCACACATACTACAGCAGAGTTATGTAGGCACAATACAGTAAAGAAAGGTACACCTCCCACCCAGCCACTGCAGCATTTCCTTGTAGCTTTCACAGAAATGTTCCTTGCATACAAAAGCTTGTGCACATACGCATCCCATATTTAAAAAAAACAAAACATGGTTTTTCTGTCTTGCTTTTTCTCACTAACATCTGAAATGTCCAGCAGCACAGATCCCTCTTTTGCTCAGCATTCCAGTGAGGGAAGGCTCCACTGAGCAGTGCCTGTGGGGGGACACTTAGGTGTTTTCACTGGCTGTTACAGACAAAGCTTCGATCACTACTATGAACAGATTTGACTTTGGGCTAACAGGCCAAAGGATAGGAGCTGTGACCTCCAAGGCCATGAACTACTGTAATTAGCCCGTAGGGAGGCTGCTCCCATTAGAAGGTAAGGAAGCCTGTTTCCCACATCCTTGACAGCACTGTGGTGTCAGTTTCCTCTTGCTGCCAAAGTGTTCATACGTGATCACAGACTGAGCTGCTTAAACGAGATGCATGCATCATCCCAGTTATTGGAGGTGAGGAGTGTGCTTGGGTCTCCTTGGGCTGTGATCCAGACGTTGGCAAACTGCCCTCCTTTTGAGGGGCTCTCAAGGGCTAGTTTCCTGTTCCTTCAGGTGTTGGCACAATTCAGTTCCTCAGTGCTGCGGAACTGAAGTCCCTGTTCTCTTTGTCGCTGTCATATGAAGGCCATCCCCAACTTCTGGGAAACACTGCATTCCCTGGCTTGCGCACACCTCTTCCCCTTCAAAGTCAGCAATGTGTAGAGAGAGCCCTCACATCACCTCTGACCAGTCAGGAAATGGTCTCTGCTTGTAAAGATTCCGTATGTCACCATCTTGTTTAGTTAGTGATATCAGGCTGGACCCACCTGGACAATCCAGGTCTGCTCCCTTGGCTACAAAAGCCCCTTCTGCCATATAAGGTACCATGTATCCAGGTACTGGGTACTAGGATGTGGATATCATTGAAGGCTGTTACTCTGCTGGCCTTGTGTATTCCTGGCTTTTCCTATTTGCCCCATTTCCAGTTGAAGGCAGCATGAGTGTAAATCGCAGTGAACATAAAGCATGATAGTAGCCCTCACTGTACCCAAAAGAGCTCTCACAAAGCTGCCCCTGCCAGGGGTCAACTTATACCCTGGCAACAATTGTCTCATCTCATGATGTTTTCATTTGAGGCTGTGGCCATGAACACATCCAGCTGGCTCCAAAAAGCTACCTCAAATTAAGCCAAGGGAGAGGGTCTGAGAGGAGACACAATCAACCCCCTACATACCTCTAATGTGCCTTGAGCAGGGATGGAGTGCAAAAGGAAACTGCAGTGAGGAGGCCAATTGCACAGGGAGAGCAAAGCCACCAGCCCCCCTATCCCCAGCCCTAGGATTCTGGCCCTGACAGGGTCCTGAGCTTGCCACATGGCCCATCTCCACTCCAGTGATCTCACCCTGGTATATTTAGAGCCCTGGGTCCCTACACACTCCTGAACTAGCAATCCCTGCAGAGTAAACCCAGCAGCACAAAGTGTCCTTGTCCTTGGGCAGACACTGTCCAACAGCCAGACAGGAGGGAAAGGCAGAATACCTGGGCAGCCCAGGGATGGCAGCCAGCTGGGGTCACAGACATCCCATAGTCAGTACCCTCCTTGGAAGCTTCACTGAAGCTGAGACAGGTCAGGCCTGCGTGCCCCGCCATAACTCAGGTGGAATGCAGGGAGGCCCTCAGCCCTGTGGAAAATGCTGCCTTCTGCCTCCCTCCTTCTGCCCCGGTTTCATGGAAGTTTGGGACCTTCCCGGGGGCTCATCCCTCTGGCTCTGTGCCCCCTTTGGGCCATGATGGAGAGGGCATTGAGCACTCTGTGGGAAGTAGTACCTGGGTATTACAGATAGAATCAGTCTGCAGATCTTGAGAAATGCTACCAGGAGTTTGTCCCCAAGCTCTGGCCCTTACCACAATGGACAGGCAGGAGCCTGGAAGGGTCTGTTCAGTGTCAGATCGGGCCTCTTGCCTCAGATCCAGCAGGCAGTGTCACCCCGGACACCCTGTTGGTAGGCAGTGGCCCTGACCACAAACAGAAGGCTTCTGAACCTGCTTTACTAATCCCACCTACCCACTCACGAGCAGCAAGCTGCCCACCCTGAATGACAGGGCTTGTGGGTAGCAGACACACCAAGTTGATATAGCCAAGGGGAGACTCCCATCCATGCTCGATGACTGCAAAGCCCAGAATGGGTCCTCAGGGCAAAGATGTGGGTGTCAGCTGAAAGGCAGGCAGGTATGCCTGTGCTAAGGGTGTCAACCGAGTGGGGCCTCCTAGGGTGGATATCAGAGGTCCCAGGGCCTTGGGAGATGGTGAGATGGCAAAAAAGCCTTGGAGAGAGGGGAGAGGGAACCAGACTGAAGACAGTGGCATGAGCTCATCCTAATCTTTAATGACACTTTTAGGCTACTGAAGAAATGATGCCACCTGGAGCTTGCTATAAAATAATCCACTTGGGTGTCTGTAGGGGGGATGAAGGGTAGAGGAAACAATGTTGATCTGGTAAGAAGGGTTTTAAGTTGGTATCTAATGATGCCAGGATGGTTATATTATTCTAATTTTGTTTGAAATTTACCACAATATAAAAAGAAAGGTTACTAAATTCATCTATTTCCTTATATCTGGATGGGATACTCTACTAGACCTACAATGGCAGGGCAGCCATGTGGAGGTGAAGTGAGCAGATAACTGTTTTCCAATTCCTCACAGTGGCTTTGTGCTGCACCACCTGGTGCCTGTGTGGGGAGGAGGCCCAGGGCTGGGTGGTTACAGTGAGCCTATCTCCAGGCCCCTTAACCTTGGGTTCAAACTACCAGGAACGTGATATCAAAACAGCCCACACACCTGGGTTGCAAAGGGCTTGGGGTCCGGGTCTCCCTGCTAAAGATCCCAGAAGGCCAGAACCTGCTATGTAGTTCCTTCATGTAGTAGAGGCCCACCTGCCCTAGACATCAAATTTGGGGGGTAGGGGAAGGTGGTGCATGCACGCTACAAGGTCCACAAGGGTCTCTCCAGAGGGCGTCAGCCACGAAGGGAAGAACTGATAAGAGGGGTCCCTGGCTTTTGATGTTACAGTAGACCATGAGCCCTTGTACACCTGTGGATGCCATCACTCTGTTTCAGGGGATAAGTAGTAAACCCCAAGCCCTGAGTAATTATCACCCAGGAGGTATTTCCACCCTGATATGAAACAAAGAACCGAGACAAAGCTTTGGAGTTTGTGAGGCCCCTGGTTCACGGCCTTCTTTTCTCCATGCATCAAGGAGTCCCACCTCCACCGGAAATACCCAACCTCTTGGTAATGAAGCTGGACATGGGCAGCAGTGCTGAAAATGAGGAAATCCTGCACTTCCTGAGATCTGAGCACCGGTGGGATCACCTGGCCTGATTCTCACAGGACCACTACCTATTGGATTCTTCCAGGGGCTAAACTCTGGCTTTTCACCCTTGAAACCCCACTTTACAGATAAGGAAACTGAGGGTCCAGGGCTCACCATGCAGCTAGAAGGTGGTGGACTGTGGCCTTACTTAAGCATCCCACCCACATACTCTCCCCGACCTGCTACAAAAGGGAAATGCCACACAGGGCCAGCATCTTCATGCCTAGCAGCATTTTCAGATGGTCTCCAGGCTGTCTCTGCCTTTCTCCCTAAAGCCAGGGAGACCCACACTCTCCCGCCAAAGTCGAGTCTTCAGCACACCCCCAAGCCTCACCCTGAGCTGTAAGCCATTTAGTAAATGATGATGGCACTGGGGCCTGCTTTCGTCCAGGCACCAAATGGCACACACTGAGGACAGACTCATGCACTGTCTGGCCAGTCTCCCAGCCACCCTGTGGGCCTGCATCTGTGTGGCAGCCCACACCAACTTGTTCAGTGGGCTCAAAGCAAGACAGGTCAGCAGTAAAAACTAGTTCAGTTAAAAAACCAACAATGTGAAAGTCATCTTTTTTGTTGCTGTTGTTAACCCTCGCCAAGGATATTTTTCCATTGATTTTTATTTATTTATTTATTTATTTTTATCCTTACCCGAGGACATTTTTCCATTTTTTGTTCAGATGGGGGGGGGGGGGAGAAACATCAACGTGAAAGGGACACATCGAGTGGCTGCCACCCACACGACCCAACCAGGGCCAGGGACAAACCACAAGCGAGGTACATGCCCTTAGCGGGAACAGAACCCGGGTCTCTCCAGACCGCAGGCCGACGCTCCAACTGCTGAGCCAAATCAGTCAGGGTTGATTTTTATTTATTAACAAAAAAAATTTTCCCCCAGAGGAGAGTGTGAAAGCAGTCCCCCACTACCACAAATTATGCAGTCAAGTATCTACAACTGGGGAAATCACAGGGGTCAGTACATCTGGAGTGCAATGGATAAACCTCACTGTGAGAAAACCACCTTTGTGATCATGGTATCTCCCCTTCCAGGTAAGTATTCCATTGATTTTTAGATAGAGTGGAAGGGAGAGGGGGAGAGAAAAACACTAATGTGAGAGAGACACATCAACTGGTTGCCTCCTGCATGACTCCAACCAGGGCCAGGGATGGAACCTGAGACCAAACTGGCCAGGGCTTTTTCTTTCTTTTAAAATGCAAAATGATCTAGATGACAACTTATAAAAACCACTTAGCTCAAAAGACTATGGAATTGTTCAGCAAGCAAGCAGTCTTTCCAAACCAAACCATGCCACACAGTTGGCAGCCAGAAGCAACCAGATTTTGAGTCTGTCAATGTGCAGAGCCTTTCAATGCCATCCCCAGCTGAGTCATGGTTCCCTGCCAGCCACACAGTGGGAGCCAGTGGTGTCTGCTGAGGGTGTGTGCACAGGGTGAATGAAACTGGGCTTTGCTGAACAAGTATGTGTGATTTTGTACCAGCAGCACCATTTTCAGCCACAGCCAGTCTTCCTGCTTCTGATCAACTCCACACATGTCCCCTGGTGGATGCTGTTCTGTGACTCAAACTGCCTCTGTTATAAGCTGATGCAAAGAGGCGTCTCACCCAATCTCCCTGAATAATAGAAGTCAGTGCCTAATCCTCCTCCTTGGTTCTGGAAGATGCAGCCTCCTTGGCCCTGCTCTGCCTTGCCTGATCCCACAGCCAGAAAAGAGACAGAAGAACCCTCCCTTGGGCAGGTGCCATGCCAGTGCTCTGCCTGGCGAAGGTACCGTCCACCAACAGGACCCCATAGAAGCCTCATAGCCACAGGAGCAAAGTCTCTCTCAGAAGAAGAACGATACTGGGGTGGGGAGTGGGGGGTGTCCTAGGTGCAGCTGCCAAGCTCACCACTTGCAAAAGCACAATAGCACTTCCTCATCAGTGGGGCCCATCTGCTCCCCAGGAACATCCACAGCTGGAGCATGCCCAATATCTGCAGAGCACCCACAGCCAGAGCATGCAACTAAAGCTGTAACTCGGCTCAGGGGATGGAAAGTCCCACCTGGGCCCAGACAGCAGCAGAGTACAGCCTGCATGCACCCCATGAGCAGCCTAAGAAGAGGAGGCCCAAGACCCAGGGCAGCTCCTGGAGTTCCTCATCAGCACCCAAGCATGAGTGGAGTGGCTGCCATCTATGAGACCTCTTCAAAAGAGGCACTCCTCTCCACAGCCCCAGTACCCAAGCTGTACCCCCCTCTCCTTTATATCTCATAGCCCTTTCCAACAAAACTATGAACTTAAATTCTCCTGACCCCTGAATTAGGTCAACAGGATGTACCATTCTTTTTTTTTCTATGAAGATAAAACATTTTTTTAAATTTAATTAATTACTGTTTGTTACAGATGTTTCTCCTTTTCCCCCCACTGATACTCCCCTCCCCCAGGATGTACCATTCTGATTGTAATCGGCCCTTTTTGAGAATTCTCAACTTTCATTCCTACACTGAAACAACTGGAAAGTTGAACGCCAAGCAGACCATTTACTTCTGCCAGACATGCTCACAGAAGGGTCCGGTTGGCAGTGTATCTGATGACAGCACTCCGGGTGAGGGTTTCCCCTCGCAGCCTTGCTCCTATAGGTACAGCCAGTAAGAATACCAGCTGTACAATATGGAATGACACAATGCTCAAGGGAGGGACACACACAGTGCTCAAACCACATGCACGTGGAAAATGGGTGATCTAAAACAAGAATGAGCCAGCTTTTCAGGAACTGATGGGGGCCAACCTCCTAGAGACTGTTAAGTAAAACAGCAAAGTGAAAACAGTACACTCTTATGCTGCCGACTGAAAACACCCAGCCCCCACTGCTGGGCAGAGACACAGCAGGGCCCAACTCTGACATAAGCAAGACCAGCCACCAACCTGAGCCCGTTCTCTGTAAGCTGGGAAGCCTAGGAAGAATGTTGGGAAAAGCTCAGATCATGTCTGTAGGTCCTGACCACTGTCCTTGGAGACTGTGTCTTTGGGAGCCGGGCATGCTTGGCACACTCGCCGCCACGCTGCTCTATGGCTCTAGTGCAGTGCACCCCTCCCTCAACCTGTTACCCCACACTCCTGGGCTGTGTGTGGGGCAGTGGGAATAATAGCACCAGGCAAAAGGACCTTCTCAGTGGGCATTCCTGTAACAGGGGCCACTGTGAAGAAAACTAAGGTCACTGTCACTCATGGAGGCTACCTCTGAGACACACAATAAGTCAAACAGTCAGACATCAATGTAAGATGGACACACATTCCCCACAACCCAGCAATCCACTCCAGGGTACAGAACAGAAACACAAGTACCAAGAATGGTGGGCCAGGCAGCCACACTCAGAACAGCCCCAACTAAAAAACACCCATATGGCTATGGCCAAAGTATAAGTGATGACTAAATCACGGGCTAGCTATTCAACATAGAACAAAGGAACTACCGCTACACACAGCATCAAAAATAAATCCCCAAACTGTCAAGTGAAAACCCAGATACAAAAGAATACATTCTGTATTGAAATGCAAGACTTCTTGATGGTGACAGAAGTTGGGGGTGAAGAGCGACCAAGAGATTGACCTAAAGTGGCTTCTAGAGAAATACTCTATTTTTTGATGTGCCTGGGGTGGGGGTTACTTGGGTGCATTAACTTCATAAACATTTACTGAAATGTAAAATATACAAGTACTTTTCTGGATGTATGCTATACTTTAATATGAAGCTGGTCCTAGGGGCCATCCTGTCCCAGAAACAAATGCCAGAGCTGCTGGGGTTGAGAGGAGGGGAAGGCATTGGCAAGCCAGTCCTTCACTCCCTTCTCCACAGAACAAGGTCTGAGACCTGCTGCACCATGAGCCCAGGATACCTCTGAGACACACAATGTGCACTATGCTTCACAGCTCACAGAGATGTCCACACGTTCCTGCCCTGGGCAGGGGTCAGTCTGGGGAGGACAAGGGCACTCTGAAGGTTCCAGGAAAGGAGCGCTCAGTAAGCAGCTCAGTGTTCCCAGGAGGAGCAAGTCTAAGGTTACTGGAGCAAGGCAGGCAGGCAGCTCCCACTGCCTGGGCATCGCCTGCCAGCAGCATGCTGGACATCTGTCTTCTACCACCTGTGGTCTCCTCTGAGATCACAAATCTCCACAGTAATAATTATGCTGCTGCCCCAACAAGGAAGCCAGAACACCTGTGACATACCCAGCCACAGGTTCATTTATAACCTAACCTGCTAACCTAACCTGTGTAGTCAGCACAGGCCTGCCTCCATGCAACAGGCCATTAGCAAGTCATACTGGTGTCCTGGGAAGAAATGGACAGTTGTCTCAAGGGAAGGCAATGGACAGTTAGGATAAGGAATCTGCATGCCTACACCAGGAAGGAGATAGCAAAGGGAGATTAGAAATTAAAGTGGGGAGGCAGATAACACTTAAAAATCGACGTAATGGCCCTGGCCAGTTTGGCTCAGCGGTTCGAGCATTGGCCTGCAGTTCAGAGAGACCTGAGTTCGGTTCCCGCAAGGGCGCATACCTCGGTTGCAGTGTGTCCCCGGCCCTGGTTGGTGGTGAGGGTGGCAGCCACTCGATGTGTCCCTTTCACGTCGATGACTCTCTTTCTCCCTCTCTCTCTCTCTCCCTCTCTTTCCCTCCCATTCTATCTGAACAAAAAAATGGAAAAATGTCCTCGGGTAAGGATTAAATAAATAAATAAATAAAATAAAATAAAAATCGACATAATTTGCCATAATAAAAGGCAAAATTGAAAAAGTCTTATTATGATCATTCCAATCAATATAGAAAAACATTTGCAAAATTGGACCTCTATTCCTAATAAAAACCCTCAGCAAACTAGGAACAGAAGAAAACTTCCTCAGCCTGATAAAGTGCTTCTATGCTCACAGCTAATGCCCTATTTGATGGTGAGAGGCTGAATATTTGCCCTCCAAGAACAGATACACGACAAGGATGTGAGTTCACCCACTTCTATTCACTCTTGTCAGGAGGTTCCAGCCAGTATAATAAAGCAAGGGAAAAAAAGACATCCAGCATGGGAAAAAGGAAGTAAATCTGTCTTTATTCACAAATAACAGAAGAGTCTATATGGAAAATCTTAACAGAATTTACAAGTAAAAAACATAGCTGAGAAATTAAGAGGTCTCAATTAGTGGAGAGATACAGCGAGTTAATGGACTGGAAGAGTCAATATTTTTAAGATGTCAATTCTCCCCCAAACTGATCTATAGATTCAATGCAATCCCAATCAAAATTCCATAAGGGTCTTTGAGAAAAACTGACAAGTTGGTTCTAAAAGTTACATGGAAATACAAAGGTCCCAGACTAGCCAACAAACTCTGAAAAGAAGAAAAGTGGAAGACTCACATTATCTGACTTTAAGACTTATGTAATCAAAGCAGTTGTGGTATTGGAGTATACAGACAAAAATATCATAAAATAGAATAGAGTCTATCAGCAGACCCACACATACATGATCAGCTGATTTTTAACAAAGGTATTAAAGCAATTCAATAGGGAACAAAAAATGCTGAAATAATCAGATAGCCGTATGCAAAAAACAACAAAAAAATAACCCTCGACTCCTACATCACAGGCTAAATAATTATCTCAAAATGGACCATAAACCTAAATATAATTAAGAGTAAAAACTATAGAACATCTAGAAGAAAACATAGGAGGAAAATCTTAGTGATCTTAGGTTTGGCAAAGACTTAAGAGATGACAAAAAGCACAAACTATAGAGAAAGCATAAACTGGACTTCACCAAAATTGAAAATCTTTGCTCTTCAAAAGATGACTGTTAGCCCTGGCCGGTTTGGCTCAGCGGTTAGAGCGTCGGCCTGTGGTCCTGAGAGACCCGGGTTCGGTTCCCGCTAAGGGCACGTACCTCGGTTGCAGTTTGTCCCTGGCCCTGGTTGGGTCATGTGGGTGGCAACCCCTCGATGTGTCCCTTTCACGTCGATGTTTCTCTCTCTCTCTCTCCCTCCCACTCTATCTGAACAAAAAAAAAAAAAAA